AAAAAAAAAACAAAAACCATTTTTTTTTAAATCTAAATTACGATTCTATTGTGAAAACAATTGTGATGTTTTCTCCGATTTTTTTTTCAATTGAAAATAAAGTTCATATTGACATTTCTTTGTATACTCTATTTCGACTAACATGCATATATTTATCTTTTTAACAAGCATAATAGAAGTACTTATCTCATTTCTCTACAAACTAATACTTTATAGTCTAGATAAAAAGATTAATATTTAGCTTAATTCTACCCTCTGAACTTATTAATATAAGAGTAAAACAAGTAAAATAAAGAAATAAGTCTAAATAATATCTCAATCAAGGTCAATATAACCCTTTGTGAGCTCGTTCAATAGATAGATTTACAAGATGATAATAATAACATAATAGAAAATATGAAATTTCATACGTTTAAAAATAGTTCATTTTAAAGAGAAAAAAAAACAAAACAAGATTAAATCAAATACTATTAATTTATTCTCACGTGATTCCATCGAAATTTAATAATAATCGTTATAATTATAATTGAAGTAAAAATAAATGTTTTAGATTCTAATCATATAAGACAGCTGTTGAGTTTCCCTATATCATAGTGATTAATAAGAATCAAACAAAAAAAAAAAAGAAAACTACGAACGAAAAGAAAAAGATAAAAAAGAAAACAAGGATTTTTCATCTATTGTTGTTTTCTTTTTGTTTTTGTCTATTGATACCTTATTCGATTTAATGCGTTATGTATGGTTGTTCCTGTTGAATGAATACACAACCACGTATATTATGTATATGATTGTGTCTCAATTTAGATATGCATATTCAAATATAATTACTTTTTATTTTATCCTATCGATTCACTCATCATCAATAACAACACAAGATGAGAGAGACACTAAATCTGATGTACATGTTATGTACACTTTCAAAAACAACAAAATAAGATTGTCGTTATAAACAACAGCGATCTCCTGCAGCGTACAAGAAAAAACAAACCACCCACATATTTATATAGATGTGTGTTACCCTTCATCAAAAAAAAACTAATCCTATTGATGAGACGACGAGTACATTAATTGCTGATCGATAGAGAGAATTCGCAATGAGGGTCTGTGTGTGTGTGTGTCGAAGCTATCTTGCGGATGCGCGTGATTTGACCTTGTCGTGTTCTGCATGCACAGTGGAGAAGATAGAAAATCCGAAAGAAATGACGCACATCCTTGATTCATCTATGATGGCGCTGTTCTCTACTGATTTCCGGGTGCGTTGCTCATCCGATCGGAATAAATGATTTACTAAGCAGGCAAGCAATCATCTAACCAGGGTGTTTTTATCATGTAATCAAGTAAACTAGGCTTCTTCTTTTGTTTTTATTATTCTTATTTGTATTTACTGAATATAAATTATTCGATTTCTCACTTACGGAATCTTCACCAGTTGAACTTTCACGTCGTTTATTAGTACTAGTATTTGTGATATTATTACTAGGAACATTAGGTGTCATCATTGAAAGATATGATGTATTGGTCGCCGATGTTGTTCGATTTTGTTTTCTTATAACATTTGTTGACATTTTTCAAATTGATTTATTAATAAATCGATCCCATCTGTTATTGACGGCAATCATTGTTTAACTCATATTAATGGAAGTCTAAGTATATAAACGTTTGATTGTTGTTTTGTCGTTTATTAATCTATAGGATACCAAATGAAAATAAATTATTTCGTTCTTTTTGTTAAGCTTACGCCTCCACGAGTAAAGATACGTTTTTTAAGAATCAAAAGAGTAGGTGTTTAATGGTATCTCGGGAATATGGAAAAAATGATTGACAATTGTGTCGTATAATCCTTACATTGACAGACTCCTACTCGTTAATGTTTGCCAACTCACTTTGTTATTAATTCCATAGGCAACAACGTATAAATAATCCGTACAAATAAAATAAATTCTTCATTCATGCATTAAAACAGAAACAAAATTGACGATCGTCAAAAAAAAAAGTTTTCTTTTTTCTAGGTTTATTTTTTTTTTTTATAAATCTTTTATTTCTTTATCTACTTTGTGTACGCACAAACATTTTTGTCAATGAATTGGAATGACTTTCAGTTCAAAATATGCTAACTATTTATAACAAGCGAAAAAGAAAAAAGAAAAAGAAAATCTACAAGCTATTTTATAAAATCATTCAAACATCCGTTTGCGTCTACTTTATGAATATATCTGATTATAACTGTTTTAGATGATAGTTATATTAGATATTTTACTATATAATGATACATGAAAAGTTTGTTGATAAAGGAAATAGAAGACTTTCTTGATACAATATAAATATAAGAATTTTCTAATCTAGCCATAAAATATTTTACATACATCCGGAACAAATGAAAAGCATTTCGAATAAATTATATTTATTTCGTATTCTTATCGACCGACTAATAGAATCAGACTGCTTACTTGAGAAAATAAGACAACATCGAATATCTAATTTGACAATCTACCATTGTTATCGCATCATTTTCTTTTTAAAGAGTAATCGAATAAACACAGTTAAACGCAAAAAAAAATTGAAAAAAACAAGAATCAATCAGAGCCGAAGGAAAAAAGCAAAACAGAATTTTCTTTTTCAAATAAAATATTTAAAGTTTATTAACACTCACCAGTGAAATTCATGTAATGTTGGAGAAGAAGATTATCGTGTGAGAATAATGAATACCTATCAAAATTAAATGTCATTTATTTCATAATAATCTTTTAATATTCGTAGAACGTTGTCAGCAAATATCTAAACGCGTTCCAAACTCTTTACTACTCTACGTTTGTTGTCTCATCTTCATGTTGTTGTCGAGTTTCTATATGTCACATTGCTGTTTCTTCTTCTTTTTGTTTTTTGGTGAACGAAAAGAAACGAAGAAAAAGAAGCAAAAAAAGAAGACGAGCAAGCCGCGCACATTAATGATCTCATTGGTATCAAGAAAACACAACGCGTAGTGCATATCTATTAAGATCCGAAGCGATCAAGAACGTCAATGAGAGGGAAAAAAATCTAGATCAAAAAAGAAAGATGTCTTATTGAGCAATAGAAAATTGATGTAAATTCTTCATTGCAAATTATTGTTTTGCAACTATTTAAAACAATGTTTTCTTTAATATTCATATAATTAAAAGACAAATAGTATGAACAGGAAGAACAGTTAGCATATGGTGATATAGAGAATTAAGAATTTTCTATCGGTTGGAAACAATGATTTACAAGAAAATTATTTACTTGAATTTGCATAAATTATTCTATATATTTGTTTTTGTTAAATTATAATCATTGTAGACTATAAATTTTGTAACTATATTTTAAAAAAATTCTATCATTTGAAATTTTGAATCAAATTAATCAAAAAAATAAACAATTACTCAGTCATCATATGCTATTGATTCAATTGATAAGAAAAAACAATTCTAAGATAGTATCATTTTTTTAATGAAAAAACAACCAATCAATCTCATCGCAAATAAAACTGAGTTTCCGTTATTATAGTAGTACTTCCAGTTATGTTTAATAACATGCTCGACTATCTAACGATAGTGTTGCTTTACAGCAGACGAAATTCTATGTATTGCATTTCATTATGAATACAAAAGCATTCATTTATTTTACGAGATAGCACAAGATCAAATGATGTCACTTTCTTTCTATTGTATATGATCTTTGTTGGCGCTAGAATTCTTTCAATCAAGTATCAGAAATAAAAAGAAAATAGAAGAAACAGTTACCGATTCTTTATAAATTTGATGACTCAATCAACTGAACTACTTAATATATCTTGATGTTTTACTCATATTATGTATGACTCGATTAAAAAAAAACGGTACAGTGAAATTTTGTCGAAATACTTGAAAAAGAATATTAGAAGAAAACGAACAAAAAAGTTAAATAAGTATTTATACCTGTGCATGTTATTTCTTATTTAATGAAGTGATAGTGTATGCAAAAATAAGCATAAAAAAACAATTATTAAATGCATTAAATTACACGAAATATTAATAATTTGATCGACCGTAAATATCAAATAGAAGACAAGGAAAAAAAATACCAATTTGGAAAAAAGACGAACTGCTATATAAAAACTTGCTATTTATTATTACTCATTTTTTTTTCTTAATTGTGTAGGTGTGTAAATATGAGCTCAAAGGGGCAAAAGAAAAGAAAACTTCTCAGTTGTTCATTTTACTGAATAAATGGCGTCATCTATTTGAAATTGGCTGCAAAAAAAGAAGAGAATATGCTATTCTATCTTACTCTGTGTTTTTTTTCCTCTTATTAACGGCAGAAAATCCTTTGTAATTACTTGTGCCTTACGGATATATATTCTCGTGTGAATATAGAAAATAAATGTGTTTTCTTTTCGTACTTCCTCATATATAGATAACAGTAATGTAACACTTATTAAAGTAGTACAGATAAGAATTCTTTTTTCTTTTTGTGTGCGTATGTTTTTCTTTTCAAGATTTTATATTAATGAATTATCAATAAAGATAATAATTTGATTAATAGATTAATCTATTCAATTTACTAAAGAAGTATTTCATCACATATTATTAATTTAAAAACAAAAAAAAAGATCAGGAAAAGAATATAGAAAAGCTATTTTGCTAAACCTGACAATTAATCTCTTATCAAGCAAAAAAAAAAGGTTATAATAATCATGTTAATTCGTATAAATTCCGTAAATTTATATTTTCATAAAAGTATTTTAATAAGAAAAAGCACAGTTGTCAGTTTTTCATTAGTATAATCTATTGATAAACGAATCATAAAAAGATAACCTTGAACCACGATTTATAATAAGTGTTGACTATTATGTCAGCATACTATACTATAATTACTATTCTGTTTAAGGTATAAACAAGTCATATTTAGTTGAAAAGAAATATATATTCTATGATTCATTTTTTCTTCAATTGACACGGTTGAATTTTATTCAAATTTATTCAATATAATACAAAATACATCAATGACGATTGTTATTTTTCGTTTAATAAATATTATTAAAACGAAAACATTCTTAAGATGAAAAGGAAAGAAAATTGTTATTTATTATATATGTTTTGATAATAATTATTAATATAAATGAAACGTGGTTTGTCGTATTGCTATATGTAAAAATAAAACAAGATAGTTATCGTTCATTTACTCATAAAGTGAATAAAAACATTTTGAAGTATATCTTATTAATTAATGAATTACTGTTTTTTTTTTCATTCTCTCAGTATCAAAAGAACAATTCGTTTCGTCATTTTGGGGTATTTTTCTGTTGGTTCTAGATACTTTCTCTCAAATGTCTATCGAGTAGTTATGCAAAATAATATTTAAAAAAAATTCTTTCTTAATTAAGACACGGAAAGTTTGATAAGGATTACATGTATCAATTACTTTGTCGGTTAGGTATGTTTGTTTGCATTGTTAATAAGCTAGAATTACTAAACATGCACATGCAAGATTTTGAGAATAGAAAAGAAAACAAATGTTTTTTTTTTATTTTTAATTAAATTAAATCATTGAAACTTTTCTTTTCATATTTTCAATATTCTATTTATATATTCTCAGTTAAGGATTAACTTCAGATAATGAGCATCTCTCAATCTTAAAAAAAAAAAGAACTTTTTTAAGAAATCTTATATATATAGTTCATATTACTATCAGAAATAACTAATTTAGTACTATTTAAAGTAAAGAAATATAATAGCCGTAAAATATTTCTTTTGAAAAATTATTTATCCAAATAAGTTGATGATATAAATGCGTCTTTCATTTCTCATTAGTTGTTTTCTTAGACAGTGACTTATAGAAACCTTTAATCCGATTAAATTAATCTAATCTTATCAGTATTGAACAAAATCAATGTCATATTTTATAACATGAAATATTTCTTTATGCGTACATACAATAAAATTTTGACACTGTAGATGACTAAAACTGGTTTAACAATAAATTCTCTTGTCAAAAATAATTATCATTATGGCTGATTTGTTTCGTTTGATCGATACAAAACATAGAATCTATAAAAGAAAAAAAAAGGTATTTTTATCGTCTGCACGATATTCATTAAAATTGCAAATGTTTATGAAAAGAATCGATAACATTGATGAATTCATAGTTATTATGGATAAGATTCTTATCAAATTAACACTGATAAAAAAAAACACAAAATCGAATATTTTATTCAAGAAAATCGCTCTTAAAGGAATTCATTTTTCTTTTTTTTTTTCGTATCACAAGGGTTTTTATAAAGTATAATTTAATATCGCTTAGTACAAACATTCTGACGTATAGCTTCTATGATTTATATTCTTATTGCAACTTAATGATATTCTTCTGCTTAGCAATATTATTGACAAACTGTTGAAACAAAAAAAAAAACACTATGCTATATTGTTGATCAAAGTCCATATTCAATAAAATTTGCTTGTAAATAAAAAGGATAATTAAGATGATTCGAGTCTTGATTTGATAGATCATTAGTGGTCGAGATGAAGAAACATTCTAATCAATAAAATAGAAGTGTCATTCACATTATAGTAAAAAAGAGAAGTGAATGAAAAATTATTTATTAGCTATCAACGAATGACATTGCTATGGATACTCATCATTTGTTTTTTTTTTCTATATAAAGAAAAAATATGAACTAGTTCTAGTCTCTTATATTCTATTTATTTATATATTGATTATTATTTTAATTCAAAACAAAAGAAATACTCAAGATATAGATACCTGTTCACATATAATTGAATCACATAGAAATGAAATATTAATAGAACGCAGTGTAATTTTTTTAATTTACACCTACATATTCTAATATTTTTTGATAATGATATATAATTGGTACATCCGGAGCAATCACAGAAAAAATAATACGTGAAGCCTTCTTATAAAACTTTTATCATTAAAAGATGAATTTTGATGTCTAACTAATTTTCAAGAGTAAATATATTAGGAATAAAGTTTTTCTTACTTATTTTTTATTCATTGTATTATCAACATAACCAGTAAGAAATTCTTCACTAGATAGATTTGAATTCGTTCAAATAAACTTTTTCGAAATTGAGAATTAAAATCATTAAATTCAACATTAAATAAATATTGAACCACTGTTTTAAATAGAGAATATTATCTCATTTAATCCATATAATTTTTTTTAATAGTACAAAATTTTAAGCTATCATAGTACAATTTAATTAAAAAATTTTTTAATTGAAAAATAATCACCAACTGTACATCATCGAATATTTATTCAACAGTAACTGATTTCATTATGAATATTCTCATACAAATGACTCGGAAAAATTTAAATTATTGAATTGAACTATAGGATTACATTGATTATAGATTGATGTAAAACGAACACAAACAGCAACAACGTTTGGTAGAAAGATTAGTTAGTGCTACTTTATATATTTTTATAATGATATGTTCTATCATTTGTTGGTATTAAATATATTATGAATTTCAAAAGGAAAAAAAATATCATTAACATTATCTAATCAAAAAGATAGTTTATATGTACTTTTTTGATCATCATGATAAGTTAAATCACTAATTGGGAAGACATAACCGAGAATTAACGAGAACATAAGTAAATATAAAATGATTGATACCGGACTATATCAATGTAAACAAATTGTCTGCAATAATGACATGGACTAATGTTGAAGAGAGACAGAAACAAAATGGTATCATTACTGAGCGAACCAAGGTCATGATCCAAAACAGCTGTTCTCACTCATATCTAGTTGACGACTGATTTATAATCAAAAGGTTAAACTACTGTTTTGTATAGTTTTTCTAATGAAAGACATAGTATATTCCGTTTATATTCTATTCTGAACAAACAAAATCAATTTTTTATAAGCTAATTGGAACATCCATGGAATTCCATGTATCAAGTAAATATTTGAATTGAATAACTGTCGATCCATATTGTAGACGTCCTTCAAGAGAAAATCAATTAATCATCATACTATCAACAAAATGCTCTGATTGATTTAAGACATATGGATCATAAAACAACACACACCTAGATATATTCAACTGATTTGCTAGAAGATGAAGTTCATATTTGAAAATAGACTCTACCTAAATGATCAACTTCAATATCAGCATCAGTCAGTTCTTCAACTCAATCAATAATGATATAAAAATAAGGATGAATGACTTATTGAGAAGGTTATGTTCTTAGACAAATTCCTAATGTAGTCTATGCAGTTGTTTTGATGTGTTATCCAATGGAAATTGTTTAATTGACTCATCAACTGTCTACTAAAGATTAGTTCGATTTTTTTTACAGTTCAAATGAATGATTGTAATTAGTAAATAGTATAATAAGACTTGTAATCCAATTATTAAATTCAATAATAACCAAACAATAATATGAGAGGAACGAACATAACTCAAACTAAAACAGAATATTCTTTCAATCGTGTGTTAAATACTGATTATTGACGAAACAAATTTTCAGCCGAAAAAGTTATATTATTAAAAAAACCACTCTTCCATTTTTTAATATACAGTTCATTTTATACAAACCTGATCATATCAAAGAAAATACTTTTTCAACTGACTCAATATGAAACGTATTTTTTCTTTGTATAGCATAGGGTGGGGTGCGAGTGTGAGTGAGTCTATTGTTTATCAATACACCCACACTCCCAGATTAGTGTCGCCGAAAACTATCACTCAGACACCGTCCTCGTAAGTCTCAATACCCAAGGATTTCGAGTTCACCTCAATCCATCGTGCTTACTTCACAATGATATCAATGAGTATAAAAAATTAAAAAATACAATAGAATTATTTGATTTACATTTCAATCCAAATTTTGTTTTTCTAATAAAAT